AGTAAGATCAGAGAGTTGAACAATAAACAGTGGTGCTTTAATCACTCACCATGGGACTTTATAACTGTTTGTCTCTTTTCCAGAAGTTTTATTCTTGTTCTTTAGTGTAAGATCAGTAAGAAGCAGCCACAGGCAGTGAAGTTAGTTTTTTTTTGTTTTGTTGTAAGTTTTTAATTTTTTTAAATAAATGTGTGTAGTAGCTATTTTATTAGCTACTCAGCAAATTTCCGTGTAGAAAAAAAAAGTACCGTTATTGCAAAAAGAGTTGTTTCTTGCACAATAAAAGTTACTAATTTTTCTACATAATGTTTATCTTGTTCTTCTATGAGTAGTGAGAGTTAAGGTGGATTCATCGAGTTTAATTATTGAATGGGGTGGTCATGTTTGTAGTTAAAGATATATGCTGTTCTTATGTTTTTTTCAGGAAAAGGAATGCACAGGGTTAAGGAGATGGAGAAACTCATCTTTGTGTTACATTAAGTTCCTATCCACCTGGAAGTTTGAACACACTGGGTCCAAAGCTTTTCCCTAAACTATCCTAGTTTTATTAAGTTCTAAGGTTATCTGTGTAAAGTAATGGAGTCAGAAAAACGTTATCAGATAAACCATTCCACTTTGTCTGGATTAAGATTACATTCTTAATTATTGCCAATTTAATTGCTACCGGTATTTAATAGACTGATGCTTGTTCATGTTATTTCATTAGTATTTCCTATTATGAAAGCCTCTATCCTGGTCTGGTATTTTAAAATTTTGCACACATAATATTTACATTCTTTGAAGCATTTGGTGTTTTACAATTGAGGTGTATTTTTAGAAAAAAAAAAAAAATCAGACTGTAAGGAGCACAGTTAAAATTAATTTGTGCCAGATGGGTTTATGAAGTATTCATAAACCAAAGCTCACTTAAATTTTCTGTTTATCAGGAAACATCAGTGGTAAAGTGTAAAAAAAAAAAATCAAATATTTAAACTTCAAGTCCAGAATCAAATTTCTTAATACACAGAGTCCTTAACATCTGGCTTTAGTGTCTTTCTTTTCTTTCTTTTTTTTTTTTTTTTTTTTTTTTTTCAAGACCGTGTTTCTCTGTGTAGCCTTGACTGTTCCAGAACCTCAATCTGTAGACCTGGCTGGCCTCAATCCACCTGCCTCTGCCTCCAGAAGACTTGGGTTAAAGTTGTGTACCATAGAGTATTTCTTAAGGTCAGAAAATGATGTTTTCTTAACGAAGTGGCAGGTGAAAAATTCTAAGTTTATCTGAGGTATTGTTTTACGCTTAAAGAATTGACACTGGAAAAGATAAGAGTATTTGGCCAGTTATTTCTAAGATTGGTTATAGGTGATTCTTGAAGGTCATCAATATTTGAAGGGGAAGGATGTTAGATGCACTGCTTTTTATTAACAACCCACTGGTCTGGTCCTGGTTCAATTATTACCTCTACTTGTATTCCCAAATCTATAATTTCAGACTGTTGTGAACTTAAGATTTAATATATTCACCTGTGTCCTGGAAATACTTAAAAGCCGCCCCCTGGCAAGCCAAGTATATGTGTTCAACATGGAAGTCACCTAGCCGCTTTCATTGAACATTTGCCCTTTCATTTTGCTACTGCCAGCAGGCTCAGCTGCTGACGCCCCAAACCAGAACCTGTGTTTGTATTATAGATCAGTGATTTTGTTGTGTGGTTTTGGGGCCATATAATTTGAACTTAACCTGTTTGTTTCCATCTTTTTGCCTCTGAAATGGAGGTGATAATATTACCAGCCTCACAGGGCTATTGGGTTAGTGACTTAAATCATATGCCAGACGTACTTAGAATAACTGGAATATGGAGAGTGAACAGTGAACAAACAAACATTCCCATTCAGTGGACTGGATCATGATAGGTGTTAAACAGCCTTGAATTAAAGCGGGATTGAAATGATAGCAGAGTGTTTACAAAGAAACTTTTTCTGTTGTTGTTTAAATTCACAGTGTAGCCCAGGCTGGCCTTAATCTCAATTCTCCTGTCACAGTTAAGTGCTAGGATCGCAGGTGTGCATGACCAGTCCTGGTTTAGGAAACAGCTGTTTTAATTAAGAGTTTCCTTCAAATCAAAGATTCTAAATCAAAGCTTATAATTTGGAAAGTTTGCTTCAAATATCTGCAGCAAAGAAGCTGCCTTAGCTTATTCCTGGATATTTATTGTTTGTTTCTGGGCACCTTTGTACTAATATTTAAAAGTGGCATAAGGAATGATTGTCACATAAAAAATTTAAAAGATAAAGACTTAACTGAAGATTGGGATCCAAATAAATACTGCATTATTGTGAAAGATTCACTTTTCTCCTGCATATCTTGACTAAGAAATATGGTAAAGAGCTGAACATTTTTTAGGGTTTCTGGATTTGTGACCAAGTTATACTTTTTTCTTGAGAGTGTGTTTTGCTGAGCCTTGGAATGCTAAGCAATTACTGTATCACTGAACTCCATACAGGTCTTATCCCCGTGAACAAGTTTTGAAGACCTTTAAAAGAAATGCTTTAAAATACTAAGGAAGACTCCCTATAAACATGTAATGTAGAGACTCTACAATAAAAGCAGCACCCTCTCATACCAACTTACTAAGATAATTTATTAACATTTTAAGATGTATTATCTCATGCCTTTATTTGGTATATACACACCAGATGACCTTTATGTAGTTTTTTTTTAATGCAAAATTATGGTTTTGTTATGTAGACCCTTTAGAAACTTGTATAAAGCTATGAGTAACCTTATCAATGTGTGAATCAGTATCTTTTTCACTATAGAGTTTTTTCCTAATGTTATCTACTGCTGATGATTATTAGCAGTGAAGATAGGAACTCATTAAAGTCTGCTCAGAGCTGTCGATGTCCAAGATCCCTATTCTCTGAAGCCAGGTAACTTCCCCATCCCAGAACAGGAAGTTTATTTTTCTGTATAAGTTGAACCAATGAAGACCCCATCAAAGCAGGCACACAGTAAGTGTGAATGAGGTGAACAGCAGCTGAAAAGGAGTTTGTGTGCAGCCTATGTGTGTTCACTGTAAGCACCTTGTTAAATCAGTGTTTAGGTATATACACACATTTGAGATTAGATGATTAGAGCTGGAGAGACAGCTCATGGTTAAAAGCACTCAGTGCTCTTGCAGAGGACCCAGGTTGGTTCCCAGTCCTCTTGAGGTGGCTCACAACCAATTGCAAGCCCAGTTCTAGGGGATCCAACCTTCTGATCTCCATGGGCACTAGGCTGATTCAGTGGTGCAAGTACATGCAGGCGAAATATTCATAAAATAAATCTTTAAAAGTCATAGATGATTCTCTCTAAAGAAAAGGTATCACAGAAAAAAGAATTCTCAGTGTTGGCAGTTAGACATTTTCCAAAGAAAAGGCCAGGTCATCTGCTGGGAAAAAAATAAGCATACCTCTTACCATGCACACCTTTTACCATGCACAATCTGATTTTTAATGTCTCACTTTTTTTTTTTTTTTTTTTTTTTTTTTTTTTTTTTTGAGACAGGGTCTCTATGTAGCTAGCCCCTGGCTCTTTTGGAACTCACTCTTTACACCAAGTTGGCCTTGAACTCAGAACTGTCAGTCTCTGCCTGGGATTAAAGGCATATGCCGTTTAAGCATGGCTAAAGCTTCACTTTTAAATAAAGTCCAAGAAAGCTAAATGAAAGTTTTCCAGCACAGTCTGACTCCAGATTTGCTTTCACCACTAAAGTAGTTTGTACAACTCAGATTCTAGTCTCTCCTGCCCCGAGAGAAGAGCATTTGGCTAGAGGTGTTTTGTTCCATAAACTCAAAAGTACCAGTTCCAAAGTATTTATCTTCTCATTTATTCATTTTTTGAGGCAGAGAGCCACTATATATTCTCTGCTGACTTCAAACTCACAAAACCTGCCCCCATTTCCCTGAATGCTGGAGTTAAAGGCATGGTCCCCCCCACACATGGCCTGTCTTCTCTATTTTAGCTCTTTTTCTGTAGGCTGTGACACCCTTTAAACCTAGACTAGATTAATTGAGAGCATTCCCTGGTGTCATTTTGCATGCTAAGAAACCAGGAAATCTGGCCCCCTAAAGGGGGAAGCATCCTTCCATTCTCAGCTTGCTGTGGTATTGAGAATATAACAGCCATGGCCTATCCAACTAGGCACACGCTCTACCACTGAACTATACCCCAGCTCCAGTAAAGCGTTTCCTCCTACATATTTATGGGAGAAGTGGCCCTGAAAGCATTCTGCCAATGCCCGCGGGGACAGTGGGACACTCGTGAATGCGCGTGGAGGGGGTTATTCCCAAGCGGCTGGGGGAGTGCGACGGCCCGAGGCTTTGGGTTGAGTGGCCTTGGCTGAGAAACGGAGATACAGGGCCCTCAGCGGCCGGCCGTGGGAACTCACCGAGACTTGCCTTCCAAGGACACCCACAAGGGGGTGGACGAACATGAAGTCCACCCTGCCACCCAAGCCACCATAGATCTCACCGCGGGCGCCGTTGGGGGGTGCAGCATGTGTGCTGACTGGGCAGCCTTTCGACACCATGAAAGTAAAGATGCAGACATTCCCCAATCTGTACAAGGGCCTCACCGACTGCTTCCTAAAGACGTACAACCAAGTGGGCTTCCAGGGCTTATACAGGGGAACCAGTCCTGCACTGCTAGCCTACGTTGCCCAGAACTCTGTCCTATTCATGTGCTATGGCTTTTGTCAACAGTTTGTCAGGAAAGTGGCTAGGGTGGACCAGAGTGCAGAGCTGAACGACTTTCAGACTGCTACTGCTGGGTCACTGGCCTCTGCATTTGCTTCTCTGGCCCTCTGCCCCACTGAGCTCGTTAAGTGCCGGCTGCAGACCATGTATGAAATGAAGATGTCAGGGAAGATAGCGCAAAGCTATAACACAATTTGGTCTATGGTTCAGAGTATCCTCATGAAGGAGGGCCTCTTAGGCTTCTATCGCGGACTCCCCACCACTCTAGTCCAGGAAGTACCTGGCTATTTCTTCTTCTTTGGGGGCTATGAATTCAGTCGATCGTTTTTTGCATCAGGGAGACCAAAGGATGAACTAGGCCCTGTCCCTTTGATGCTAAGTGGAGGCTTTGCTGGGATCTGCTTCTGGCTTACCATATTCCCAGTGGACTGTATTAAATCCAGAATCCAGGTTCTTTCTATGTCTGGGCAGTCAGCAGGATTAATCCCAACCTTTGTAAATGTTGTGAGAAATGAAGGGATATTAGCCTTGTATTCTGGAATGAAAGCCACTATGATTCGAGCCATCCCTTCCAATGCTGCTCTATTTTTGGCCTATGAATACAGCAGGAAATTGATGATGAGCATGGTGAAGAATGCTGAAGAGTCTTTTTGAACCCTGTCTGAGTACCTGAGTGTGAGGACCATGGCTCTAGATATCAAAGGGTTCAAGACCAACATGGAGTTATCTTTGACTGGGAAATCTCGTGTTTGTCTTCCCTTCTAAATCTCAAACTTAGTGAAGAAATCTTTATATCATATGGTTTCTTCCCACAATCATACTGAAACTGCTTTTGCAGTGGAATCTACATGGTGAACCCAAGACCCTATGTACTTAATCTTAAAGGTTATCAGGGCTGCTTCATAAACTTACGATGTGTATCTTCAATGATTGTGTTGTTAGTGAAACACTTTTAGTTTCAAGTATCATGTTTCATGAATATAGGTTATTTCTTAATCCATTGAAGATGTGGGCTGAAGTTTAAAATCTGCTTAATGTGCACTGTGCTAAGCTGATAAAGTTTTTAAAGTCTTTATGTGACAACAAAATCATTCACATTGCTTTCTGAGAAGAGAATGTACCTGTGTACCAGCACAGCTTCCACATTCTTGAGTAAAATTGCAGAGTGGGGGCATCCTGGATTTTCTTCTCTATTCTTAAATAGTGTGGTTCATTTTCAAAGTATAGTTACAGTCTACACTGCAATACTATTGTTAGGCAGGGCCTTGTGTATAAGGCCTTTTAAAATGGTGTGGTCTTTATGTGCACTCATTACCTTTCTCCTCTTCTAAAGAAGCCAGGCTTTAGATTGAGAAAAGAGATAAAGGCATGGGATTATGATACTGGGCTTTGATGACCCATGAAGATCAGCAGTTCTCAACCTGTGGGTCTCTTGACCTTTGTGTGTGTGTGTGGGGGTTTGAACAACCCTTTCATAGGGGTTTCATATCAGATACTTACATTATAATTCATAATAGTAGCAAAATTACAGTTAGGAAGTAGCAGCAAAAATAGTTTTATGGCTGGGGGCCATCATTGACATGAGGAACTGTATTAAAGGGTTGCAGCATTAGGAAGGTTGAGAACCACTGATGCAGATGAAGAGAGTTCTAATTTGCTTCCAGTCTCTGGGCCCTGGCCTTGGCAGGAGTTCACAGTGTTGTGTTGGCTCACTTAGGGATTGTTGATTCACTTTAAGTCTGTACCGTCACCCATTCTTCTAGGGAACAGTACAGAAGCCAAGAAAAGGTTTTGTTATATTTGATGACAGAGTGATAATCGCCTTGGGTGATGTTATGTCTTAAGCAGGACCAGTGTGCACTTTTTGCTATCATTACACAGTAAGCAATGTGAAAGAGGTGATTCACTGTTGAAGGTCACCTTGGATCCATTACTGTTTGCAGTAATTTCAGTGTCAAAGCTTTCTAAATGTGATGCTGGTGGTCAATGAACTTTAATGACTAGATGTCACAATATAAAACAATAAGCTGTAAGGAAAGTAGTTTTACTAAATTACATGTATGCATTTAAGCACAGACAGTATCTCCCAACAAAACCCCCAAATACACCAAAACAAGATGAAAACCCCCTCCCCAAACCATGATTCAACTTCCCCCAACAGACTTGGAATTAAGCAGCTGTTCTTGGGCCATCTGATTTTAGAAAGTCATTCTTTTGTTTTGTTTTGTTGTTGTTGTTGTTGTTTTTTTTTTTTTGAGTCAGGGTTTCTCTGTGTTGTCCTGGCTGTCCTGGAACTCACTCTGTAGATCTGGCTGGCCTTGAACTCAGAGATCTGCTTGTCCCTAAGTGTCAGGATTAAAGGTGTGTACCACCACTCCCTTACTAAAGCAAATTCATGTTTCTGCCTTGCTACAAGTCCAACAGGGTTAAATACCTTAAACCTTAAAGAAGGTGATGTACCAATCTTTAATAGTTCAATTTATGCATTTCCTGTGCCAGGCCTCTAACTTCCCTTTTAAAATCCATTACCCAGTTATGGTAACTCCAAACTCTAGTTCCAGAAGCAAGACCCAGGGAAATGAGACACTGACAAATAAGGGCAGCTGGGTAGTGTAACGAGTATGGTTTTTCCTGCCCGCCACCTGGTCTTGTCCCCCCTCCATGCCAGCCCCAAATAATACACAGAGACTCTGTATTTGATACAATGCTGTTGGCCCGGTTACTTGTTTCTTATCGTCTAGCTCTGCCTTAATTATTAACCCATCCCTGCTGATCTATGTATTTCTCTTACCGGGGGAGCCGGCCAGCATACTGCTTTCTCCCGACTCTCCATTTTGGCTCCTCTTTACCACTTCCTATTTCCTCCTTGTCTCCTAGTCCCTCCTATCTTCCTTTCCTATTGGCCAACAGTGCTTTATTATTAACTAGTATGAGAAACATATACAGAATGACATCTCACATCAGGGTAGAGTTGGCAAAAAGTTTTTCTCAGTATTATGCCTAGTTTGCTCAGGACTTATGGTTGTTTATTCATTTATTTGCTTCTAGTTGAAACCATTTGCTATTTTACTTTTACATTGTTTCTGTGTTTAAGTTATATATGCCATACTTGAATAGCCAGCATCTACTGAGCAGTGCTTCATCTAAGTAGGACTATTTTAAAGCAGGGTAGAAAATGGGACTGGCTTTTGACTGGGATAGACTTTTTTAGTCTATGTAGCCCTTCAGCATAGAATCTGTGGGTTAGCCTGGTAGCTCTGCTTTCATCAAACTTGCTTCTCACATGCTATCCATTAAAAGTTTAAATGCCTTCAATAGAAGTCATATGAGGCAAGCAAGAGTGAATGGGAGTAGAAGGAAAACAAGCTTAAGGAAATTTTCTAATTTAATTTTATAACCCTAGGTTTACTATTTGGGTACATTTTTATTGTTTCAGATCTTTAGGTTAGACAGAAGTAAGATATGGACAGTGAAATGGTTGGGGGCGAACTCTATTGTCTAACCTTAGATCTGGGGCAACAGGATACCTGAGCCAACAAGAAGTTACGGAACCAGGTCACGAGATCTCTTGACCAGGTGAGAAGATTATGGGAAATCCTGCAGCTAATCTACATGGGAAGAGACAAACCTTCCACCAATCAAAAAGAAGAAGGATGGGTGATGTGGCTGGGTGACATAGAAAAAGAGAAAATACCAGAACTTAAGCTCCTATCCTCAGACACTCCTCTCATATCTTTGAGAGAAAGTATTTAACCCAATAAACTTTACTTAATTCTAATGAACTTTATTAAGAGTAGGTTTTCAGTCCGCCTGGACCCACCGCTGTACCAGCCCCTAAAAACACACACAGAGAAGCTGTATTAGGTATAAAGCTATTGGCCAATTACTAGTTTCTTATCGGCTAGCTCTGTCTTAAATATTAATCCATTTCTATCAATCTAAGTATTTCCACATGGTCTCATCTTACTGGAGGAAGGGGCTGGCATTCTACTCCATGCTCCATGTTGAATCTCTTCCCTACTATTTCCTCCTTGTCTCCTAGTCCCACCTATCTTGCTTTCCTATTGGCCAACAGTGCTTTATTCATTAACCAATGTGAGAAACATATTTACAGAATGACATCTCCCATCATCTCTTTTCTGTCTAAATGAAAAGGAGGGTTTTAACCTTAACTTAGCAAAATATGTAACAAAACAGTTATCAAATAAGAACCACAGTTAAAAACATTTAGTGCATTAACATTTAGCAAGATTTAAAGAAAATATTTTATCATATATCCTATCTTTGTGAGTCTAAAGTCCTATATGTAACTTATCTTTAATCATAACTAAGGAAAACTAACCATAACTATCTGTCTTCAACTCCTTCGAAGACCACAGAAGGATAACATATAAACTCTAGAAATGACAGAGACAACTTGTCTGGTCAGTCACCCAAAGTTCTTCTGTAATGTTCCATCTTCAGCCTATAGGCTATAGTGTGTCTGGCAGACTCTTCAGCAAAGCAGGAAACTTTAAACTGTCCATCTGTATTGGCAGTTTGTCAGTCACTTTTCTCTGTTTCTGGCAAACCCTTCCATGAAGCAGGAACCCTGTAGCAATGTCCATCTTGTATCAGCAGTCACTTTTCTGTGGGACCTGCATGTCCAGTTTATAGAACATAAAGTCAAATAGTCCAGACAATAGCAGTATCTTGCCCAAATGGCTAGTCTTGCCATATTGAAAGCAAACTCCATAACTGTGTTTCTTCAGTGTCCATATTCCTTTCTGACACAGTTGGTGTTACCAGGAGCAGTTATGTCTCACTATCAAGAAAAACCTTAACCATTTTAAATGCCATATTCTGTAGGTCTTTGAAAGGTTTGAAGAATGCCTATTCATCTCAAATACATCTCTGTATATCTAGAAATCCTAACTAACTTAATGGTAAGTTTTGACTATTATAGGTAAAACCTAACTTAAGTTTTGGTTATTATAGGTAACTATCTATAATCTGTACTAAATTATACATTACATTTCTAAATGAGCTATGTAAACACAATACCTAAACAAGATGAGAAATATACACATTACAAAATTGACCTTAAATTGTATCAATAAATGAAAATCCATTCCAAAACAAAGTATTCATGTCTATACCATAATCTCCTTTTTTACCTTTAAAAAAGATTGGTTGTGGTCATTAACCATTTATAACCAACCCAATATAAATGAAAAGAGACATTTAAAGACAATACTTGGAAATTTGGGCTTTGTTCTTTCCAAACTCCTTCCTGCTGGTAAAGGGTGCTGTCATGGGCATCCTAAGAAGGTGCAAATCCTGGCTGTAGTGGTCTGCAAGGCTGCCATATCCCAGCTGTTTTGAATGTTGTATCATCTGGGACTCTGTTTCAGGGGGTCTTGCTTGATCAAACCATGTTAGTCTGGAAGGAATCCACAGCTTTCCATTTTCTGTGGAAACAAAAGTAGAAATCCTTTTCCCCAGTAACCTGTCCTTGAAAAATTTTGAAGTCAAAACATTTTTAAAATATATAAATTGGATTAATTTAGCAATATTGATAATCAAGTGTATTATAGCAATTATTTCTTCCTTAGTAATTGAGCAATGTACAGCCAATATCATAGCATACAGTATCCAGACTCTTTTTTTTGTTT